TTTACATGGGGAGAGCCCGAGCGCTGCTTCTAGGAAACAAATCTCTGAGAAAGTGTTTCCACCAAAACTGCAGTTCGTGCAACAGTGTCCTGTGGCAAATCTGCTCTAGTCTGCAGAATAATTGGTTGGGGATTTGGATGCAAAGGGACTGCAGGAGAGAAAGCCTTTTTTTGGAGGGGGAAATGGTTCTCGTCCGAGGAAGAAAAGCTCTTTTCAGGGGCCACAATGGGAGATTGGGACAGGGGAGGAGTCCCATCGTGATTAGCCCATTTAATGGCGCGTTTACTTAATTTCTGTATTCACTAGCAACGGTAAACAAAAGGGGAAATGGCACTCACATTTTTAAGTGCTGCATGACGTTGACATTTGCCAGAATTTGGAGACTGAGGCAGTCATATAGGCGATTTTGCCTGCATCATATACGTTTGAGCCAGGGGTGTAATCATAAAATAAAGCAGACGTCTTCTTTTGGAAAATAAAATTACAAACTTAAAACTGAATTACAGCGTTGTGCTGTTTTTGTCGCTGCACACGACCAAGCTGTCTACGCCAAGACGATACAAATAATGAAATCCTGAGTTAACACTGTACTTGAAATGAAATCAAACTAATTTTAGGTGAGACCAGCCCCCTGACTGAATAACCTGCTCCGAGGCTGGATAAGCCACGATGAGCATTAATGCTTCCACAATCCAATCCAATAATGATCCAATATGAACATGTGTTTAGCCACTTATCACTGTCCTTATCCGTAATCGGATGGAAATACAGACATCAACATGCAAAGAGGTATAGCAAAATGAATAGTGCGTTTGATCTTTAGAGTCGTAACTACAAGACACATAATAACTACGCGATGAAAGGGAAATGACATTGGCAAATGCAAATAAGCGCTCAGAGTGACCCCGGTGGACGGAAGAGTATATATATGTTTTTGGTTTTGTTTCTGTTTTTTTGCCATTAACAACCCACCCATAATCAAAGAAAACCAACAAAAACGCCTACAGCACTTCAGTTTTAAGTTTTGACAAATATTTTATGTAGGAACACCAAGTCAAGAAAAGTGAGGAAGGGATAGAAAAGAGGATGACACGGGGGAGAGCAATAATTATGTACAAGCATATTTCTACACGTATATTACAGACCGGGAGAATGATCGCATTATTTGAGATATACATAATTCAATATAAAATTTCGAAAATAAAATTCTGATACAGTCATAAACGGTTCTGTTCGACATTTTTTGACCATGTACCCCACAGGCAGTGACAGAAGTGTATTAAAAAAAGGTGCTTACGACTTAAAATGATTGTCTGATGAACACAAAGTAAAAACAGGATTGCATCTTGTCTGCATGGCGGCTGCTTCACCGTCATATCATCATCATCACTTGGACTAGAACCGGAGATGGGAAAAGGTGCGACGAAAACACCAAGACGATCTGTTTTATTCCCTCTGATCGATGTTCCTGATGGAAAATCTTGCATTCAGGATTATTTCCCTGATTACAAAATCAAAAATAAAATAAAATAAAAAAAAAAAACCCATCATGCAAGTAGTCTAGTAGTATGGTGGTGGTGGTGGTGTGGGGGGATGAAGAGGAGGGGGAGGCGTGGGTCCTTTGAAAGCGCTTTTTAATAATAAAAAAACAAAAAAACAAAAAAAAACCCGACGTGCTTTTAACTCTTTTTATTTTAATATTTATATCAATCGGTCCTTTTTTCATCCGCGATATTTCATAGTCTTTTTTCTTCCTCTCAGGTCCATTTTCCCTGTAAATATTTCTCTTTTTGTTTGTTTTTGTGTTTTTTTTCTCCGTATCATACATCGCACTCCGAGTCACTGGATGTGACGGACAGGATGGACGTCCCAGTATCAACTCTCTCTGTCATACTGGAAACGCTGGTGGTGGGACTTGCCGCGGTTGAAGGCGACTCTGCCGAGCTGTGAGGGGTGAGACCGGCCTCTGAGAGGGACCTCATACCGGCTGGTCCTATTGCTTGGTGTTGGAGCCTGGAGAAGAAAAGAAACGAGGAGGGGGGAAAAAGAGAAAAAATGAGAGAAATGGCAATTAGACCTGAGAATGTCCCCCTTCCCCTCCTCCTCCTGCAAAATAGGGGTTCAAACTCGCCTTTCTTTCCCCCTGCCGGCCCCAGGCATGCATGCGTGCTTTTATCAAATAGCCAGCTTTCAGGGGACAAAACACATCACTATTTAGACTACCAAACGTTGGATGAAATACTAGGGCTGTGTTGTTGTTGTTGTTGTTGTTTTTTAACTTAATTTTTTTTTTTCTTAGAGATCAACGTCCTAGTCAACACTTTGGAATATAACTGATCCATGTTGCCAGTGCAGGGAAGCTTCAAATCCAACTTGCTGTCTTTGATATAGGCATTTTGAAGACATTTTCCATTTGGAAATCTGTGTTACTGCTCTGAGTTTGTTCAGCGTTTATTATTATTTCTTCATTCTGCACACGTGTATTCATGCTCATCAACAGGACTTTGCACGCCTAAAACCCCAAAATAATTATATATCATTGTTTGAAATAAAATATGGGTATTCTCACAACGACAAACTGCCGTGAGCCTTTGGCACAGATGTGTTTTAGTCTGATGGTAGGGGACGTGTATGAATGAGTGACGTCGAGATCCAGGTTACTCCAATCATCCTAAATGTTTATCTCCAATCCACTCATGATAATAACTCCATCGCGTGGGGATAATGTCAGCCTGGAAATATATCTATTCATTTAGCAAAAATATTAGAGTACTGTTCATATGGCTTAGTGCTCTCCAAAGTATTTTCTAATCAATTATGGCATTTCAGTGGAATGATACCACACTTAATGTTATGAATACAGCCCATGTCTTCAGATGTTTTTCTCTACGCATGCTCAGATATCAATAATAACGTTATTATCTTTTGAGATAGTCGTTGAGTTCAACAACACTAAGCAACATTTGATGTTAAAACGCTTAATGCTTGCATTAAGAACTTAAATTGGTCAATACACATAAATAAATAAATAAATAAATAAATAAATAAATAAATAAATACATTTACTAAATTTAACAATTTAATATGTGTTTAAATGTAAAGATAAGACGATTTAACTTTAGAATAATTTTTTTTTTTTTTTAAAAAACTAAACACTGTCCTGTTTTTATTTCAGCTGATTGAAATAATTCACTAGGTTGTTTACAATTTTACAAGCGAAATAGTTGTAAAATTAAACAAATCCTGCAGCGGATGGTTTTTCTAAATATAAATTCAATAATCTTCATATGTTGCAAGAATGCTTCGCCTCTTGTAAAAATATAAACAAGGAGTTTCTGTTTAAAAAGAACTCGGCTCAATTATCTCTTATCAAGATTGACAACAAATGTAGTTTGTGTTTGTATTATTTTATTAGTCAGTTTTTTAAAATTCCAAACTTTAGATTAATTGTATTTTTCATTCTTAAATACAATTTGCATTCAATTTAAAATACATTAAAAATGATCAATCTGCAAAAAATGTTTAAAAGCTAATTTTTAATAATAATAGTGAAGTTTTTATGCTTAGGAGAACTCTGGAGATCTACAAAAGGAATATTTTCGACGTTTATCCGGGTTTGATAACAAAATGTCGCCGCAGCGCAGTCCCTCCACCTGACAGCCAGACTTATCTTTTTTCCTAGACAGTCTCCAATCGCAATATAAGGCTTTAAAAAGCTCGCATTTTCTTTTGAATGTGCATTAAAGACAAACTTGTGTGCATACTCGTGTTTCGACGGCACACAGAAAAGTCACTAACCTGTTTTTGGCAGCCGCAGCTCTGTCTCTTTGCCTCCGGTTTTTAAACCAGTTTCCGACCTGTGTGGGAGTGAGTCCAGTGGCTTGAGCCAATTCCCTTTTCTTGCTGGGATTTGGATATGGGTCCTGAAGGTACCACTCCCTCAACAGGCTCCGTGTCCGCTCTTTGAAACAGTGCGTCTTCTGCTCGCCGTCCCAGATGGTCCGAGGCAGCGGAAACTTCTTCCGTACCCGGTACTTATCGACAGGTCCGAGGGGACGACCGCGGAGCTTCTCGGCCTCCTGGTAGTGAGCTTCCAGCCACATGGCCTGCAGTTTGCCATGAGAGTCCTTGGTGAACTTGTGGTTCTCCAGGATGTGGTAGAGGTCTCTGAAATTCCCCGTGTGGAACGCCACGACGGCCCGAGCGCGCAGGATGGACTCATGCTTGTTGATCGCCTCGCACGCTCCCGGAGCCACAGGCAAGGACCAGAGGAAGCGGCCCAGCCGTTCGATGTCCCCGGTCTCTTCCAGCGTCTCACAGACGCTTGCCACCTGCTCCGGGGAAAAGTTGAGGGTCGGTAGTTGAAACATGGACAAGTCTTCTGGAGACCTGGTGGTGGGAGCGCTGTTCGCCAGGAGCAGAGGGCGATCAGCGAAGTTTGGCAGGAAGAAATGGGAGGGATAAAGCTCTAAAGGGGATCTGAAAACCATGGAAATGACCTGAGAGAGAAAGAAAATTATCGAGAAAAAGGGAAAAACCGAAAAATACGGCAAGTAAAAAAGATTGAATGATTCAATGGCTATCGCCTAATGACACCAGCCTCATAATATCTCCCCCCTAAATCCGCCGTTGAGTGTAGCATTGAAACATTTTGTTTCCCTTTTCTATTGGTCTTCTTGGTGTCGTTGTAGCGTTGTCATGGCAGCCCTGCCAATCACTGTCAAGCGTGCCAATCATTAGCCAGTACGTAGCGCGAGGCTTTCACCACTTGTGCAGCATGCACGGGGGGTTATCAGAGTCTCCGATCTCCACAGCAACCCTCCCACCGCATCGCGCGCATCAGGCACAAGCCAATGCTCGCCTATCTGCTGAATGGAATGAGCAATTAGAGGGTGGAATATTATTGCGATCTTAACGAGGCTCGTTAAAGCTAAAGAAGATATGTAGACTGGAGATGCTTAGCAGAGACGGGAAGGGAGGGAGGGAGGCAGAGGGAGCTTTAAATGGGTGACAAATGGACAACCAATGACTGCAACTCGGGAATACACGTTTTGAATAGAAGCGAGTCAATTTGCACATTGTTTTTGTATAGTTTTTCCTATAGTAGCTACTTTTTAGAATCTTTTGATCACTCCATTCATTTTTGTGCGACGGAAATGAAAGCGTTAGTCTTCTGGGTTACATTTTCCTTTTCATAGATACAAGTAATCGCTTTACATTATTTTTTCTTTTGAAAAAACAAAAAAATATGGTGTGGTCCCTTAAGCCTTTGAGGGTTTTTGTCTTTTGTTTCTGTTTGTTGTTTGTTTTTTGCCCTGGATCCGTCGATGGTCTAAAAAACTGCATGTTTGTATGACATAATCCGCGCATGACTTTACTCGGCCTAGCTGTTCTGTGTGGTCACTTTGTGATGGGTGGGTACTTGTCCGGGGGTATACTGCAGTGATGCCGCTCCCCCTCCTGCTGTCCCCGGCCCTGCCTCTGGGACGCTGGGTGCAGTCCTGGCCCCCTGCCCGTTGCCTTCTCTCCAACCAACAGAATTTATTGTTACAAATTAATATCGACGCGCAGCATTGTGTTGATTGAACAAAGATCACGGCATTGTAGTGGGAAAACTAATTTGCCAGTGGCATCGCCCTTTTAACAGTTTATCGCGTTTTTTATGGCCCGGCCCTAATTAAAACTATTAGGCTAGTATTGGAATTACAATCAAATGGCAACATGAAAGCTTCTTGGGGACATAAAAGCTATTTCATTTATTTGATCTAGTGGCAAGGACATGATCAATGTCCACATTCAGTCATAGGACTCGGCTTTTAGAGGTAGTAGTGGTAGCCACGGCGGTGTGATTTTCATGTTTATGGCTAAACCGGCTTCATATTTAGACAGAGCTTATAGGGTGTTAAAATAGTGTGAATTCAGTCTAACACGAACAGTGCTCACATTGTGCAAGAGCCGTATGCAGGGCATAGAATCTAGACTTCGCTTAATCCACCCTCAGCAAAGCTGACATAATGATCCTAAGCCGCCTTTCTACAAAATCATTCAGGAATTCAAAACGTTCCCTTTCCTCTCTCCGAGTTACACATTCTCCCGGCTGACCAACGACTTCAAGCTTGGAGGGACAGTGAGTACCTCAATGTGCATGTATAGTCAGTGCTGCCTGTTTATGTCCACCACAAACCTTACTTGACGCGCTTAAACAACGTGATTGCCGCCGAGCAATTAGCCAACACTGGCGCACTAAAACGCGTTTTAGGTAAAGCAGTGCTTTAACTCGTGCGAACATGTGCGTGCAGGAGTGGGCTGCGAGTGTCTGTGTCTGGAGGTGTATGTGATGCAGAGTGGGCGTTGTGATGATCTTGCAGCAGGGTCAGGCGTTTGGTTCGTGTGTTGCTTCTGGAGTTTGCGCGCGTGTTTGTGCGTGTGGGGGCAGGGTAGAGTATGGGATCAAACCTGCCCACTGCTGTCCTATACGAACCTCAGGAGGACTAATTCCAAGTGGCACTTGAATTGGTCCCGTTGGAAAGCTCTGTGGACTGGAAGTAAAGGCTGGTATTTTCATGCTGGTGTTAAAACTAACCTCCTAGCCTATACCCCCTCCTCTTTCTCTTTCTTTCTCACACACATATACACACATGCATGACCCCAACATGAAGTTGAGAGTGCGGGCTTAGCAGCATTTCTCCAAATATGCAAAGCCTCCTACCTGACCGGGTTCCTGGTGTACCAATTTAGCTGATCACCATTCAACCCAAGGCTGCAGGTATTATGTAGCATTATGTTTTGGAGGAGCCTTGTTTGGGAGTAGCCCTCGCAGGCAATTCGGAAATCACTCTTAGAAAAGACTAGAGGTGAAATGTAAAACCTGAATGGGGATTGAAGGAGAAAAGCCACTGGTAATTCACATTCTTTTACATGGCTTTTGTTTACGTTAAGCATGTAATTAACACCTCCCAAACAAGTTTATTCACCTGCCGTAATTGTGTGTTTATCCGAGAGCTTGCTGAATGTTCCTAGCAGCGGGGGACGAGAGCTCTGAATGCACATTGAGCATTTAGCGTCTTCTCCGTTTACTTACAGCCTAAACCTCCAAACAAGACAACACAAACAGCATTTTGCATGCTAAAAACTGGAAATATGCTGGTCAAGCAGGAACAGGCGTCCGTGTCTGTTAAGCAGCCGGATCTCGCTTCCCATTCCTTTTGGCAGAGCGTTAAATGGAATGTCAAACTTTGTGTAGAAAAGTTTTGTATAAATAAAACAAGTTACTACTGTGTTTTTTTAAGTTCTTAATATAATAGGGTAATACTGTTCATTGAACACGATATGTTAGTCTTATCGGAACATATTGCGTCTAAAAGTGCTCGTTAATCTCCATTAAGTAGTTATTTTTCTTTTTCTGTCTGTTCCAATAAGGGGAGCAAATAAACAAAGCTGATGTTACGTCACGTTTGGGAGTGAGAGAGGGAGAAGGGGACCGGATGAGAGAAAGAAAGAAAAGGTGTTGACTGTAAAAGGTAAGAGGGAAAGAGAAGGCACGAAAGAAAGGGTCTTGTTTTATTTTTTGCTCCCTCGTTGACCCCGGTTTGGCAGAAGCTTCCCAGAAAAGGCAGCACACCCCTCCTGGCAAACACAGGAGAGGCACATGTGCCTACTGCTCCATCCTGGATTCATCTCAACATTACACAGACACATTGGAGAAATGACTGGTACGTACAAAAAAAAAAGGTTTTCTCCTTTGCTTTTTTCTCAGAACAAGGCAGTCTAGTTTCTGCTGAATTTATTTTCGCACGCGTCAGAGGATGCATTTATTATTATCCTGCCAACAGAGAAATGCAATTTTATTTTAATCACGTGGAAACTCAACGCTTGTGTTTTTCTCTCAGAATATTAGGAATTACCTTTCCCCCCCACCTTGCTCGTTCTTGTCTCCTGCAGGGCTGTAAGCTGGCTCCAGTCAACGAGCGGTCACCATTTGAGCTTGGAAGCTGTCGTTGGAGATGGCACCGCTTCACGGTTATTTCACTGGTCAGTTTGTCCAAAAGTAGGATGGAAATCGAGCTGCAACGTCTGTAAGTTCCGTCTGCGACGTTGTCGAGTCATTATTTTTGCGTACAATTCATTTATTTAAACAAAAATATGGAATTAAGCATAAAAAAAACTTAACAGACCTTGATATGAGGCTAATCTATCCTTTAGATCAGAAAAGTTACATTTGGTGTTATCTGACTTTTCTCTCACCGAGAATCGGGGAGATCTGTCTTTGCAGAGCAGATGTGTGATGCTGTCGGGACGGGCGCACAATCGCCTCCATCCCTTTGCTGGCTAGTCCAGGGTACGGAGTCGCTGCTTTCTCCCCACACTGTAAAAAGTATCAGTCTAAAGGTGGCATTTAATGTAGCACTAAGTTTTAAAAATACGGGGTTATTTTGGGGAAAATGAATGGCTCTATCATACATTTGGGAGAAGGATGTAGAAGGAGACATCTCAATCTGATATAACTTTGTCTGCCTCTGTTTAAAGTTTCTCGTGAAAATTTTAAGTTAGTACAAGAAATGCAGAACTCCGCTTTCTTTAGAAATATTATACCGCTTTCTTTAAAAAAAATGCTATGCATAAAATTTGTGCCACTGGAATATATCTTCTTTTTTTTTTTTTACCGCATATGAGGAAATTTTTACGAAATGAAAACAAATTGGATATTTTTTGCAGTGCAAAAATACGATTAAAGCATATAGTCAGCAGCTTTAACAACTGCATTCTATTTTTTAAAAGCATTAAAAATATACATTAGACCTGCATATGTGACGCTGTTACGATTTGGTTCATTCCATAGTGAACTCAAGCGCCAAAACAATTAAGTCGGTTGCAATATCTTAAAACAGCCACTCAATAACAACTTGTGATCACGTAAGCAATAGGCAAAACCTCTGTTTACGTTTGCAGATACATGCACGACGCACAATAGTGTCTAAATTTAAACTTAAAGAAACAGAAAAACGCCATGATTGAATTTAAAACATTTTTTCACAGCAAATGTGACTGATCTGTAAACGTGGCTCCAACTTTAATAGTAAAGCTTTTACAAAAGTTTTAACATCTCTCTCTCTCTCTCTCTCTCTCCCTCCTTTCTTTTATTGTTTTTATTGTGTGGTCTCATTAGGGGGACTTCCTGGCAGGGCTGGGAGCTTGTATCGGAGCTGTCCAATCAGTGTATTTACACGGGTTGTTAGCGACAGTTAATGAGGGCTCCTCCCCGGGCCGGTAGAGAAAGGCGCCTCAACATTAAGATTTACCTTGTGTCAACTCGTTACTTCTAATGAACCTCCATGCAAAAGCCTCCTCGTTCTCAATGGAGCCGTGCGCCCGGATCTTGTGTGTGAGACCCTGGAAGAGTGGAGCTGCAAGCCGGCCTCCCTCTCCCCCACCTCCTTTTCTTCCGCTCACTCAGGGAGTGTTGCTTTTTCTCTGCAGGCCCGGTTCTATGATGCATGCATGCAGTGTGTATGTGTACATGTTTGTGTGTGGGTACGTCTCCTCTTCATGGAATATGGCGTTAGGAATCCAAATGTTTTCATTATATATTTAAATTTGTGCAAAAGGGCTTTTCTCCATGTAGATTAACACATATTGGACTACAACGTAAAATTATACGTAGGCTATATATTTACTTAAAATGTGTTTAATCGATAAAGAAAAAAAACAGTCATTAGAAGTGTGTTCTGAGACAAGACATAGGCGTAAGAGGGTGTTTGTGTTTGCGTGCAGGTATTACAAACCATATGTCTTCTATTGTTTGGTGAATGAGGCTTGACATGTCAGCTTATTGCCCCTGCAGAAGTAAGTTCATTTATAATCACCCTCCATCCCCACGAGAGCACCGAGGACAGATCGGGCTCTGGCCCCTCTGTCCACCCCTCGTCTGGCCCCTAGTGAGGCTTGTTGAGCCGCATCAGCAACACATCACTGCCCCTCAATTCAGGTACAAACTAGAGGAGTTTGGCAGCTCCCTGAAGTGGACTCCCCTCTTGCTCTTCTAGACCACAGAGACACCACTTAAAAATCAATTAGACTCGTCTAGTCTCTCCCTCATCGCCAGTCATTATTAAAAAAAAGAGAGAGAGAAAGAAGGAAAAAAACAGGTGGGAACACCAAATTTTAGGAAGGACTAAAACCAAAATCCAACTTTTGATTCTTCGTTTGCGAAGGAAAATTTGCATTTGTACCCTCTAGCTTTGAGAAGTGGTTATCTGACAGACTGTAAGATAAAATAAACAGAAAAGTAAAGTCAAATATGTTTGCACACGATAATGTACACTTTGTTTTGCCAAATCTACATCCACCAGCAGCCAGCAGGTGATAAAGTGGCCCAAACTATATTCTCACGGTTGTTGGCACTTTATCACCTGCTGGTAAAAGTGACAGAAAACAGTTTGATTTCCATATCTGTTATAAAGGGAAAAGAAGGTTTTTAAGTAATGTCATTACTTACACAATCCCTTTCTTCATACCGTCAACAACGTATTTAATGCGCATTTTCTCTTGGCGCCCTTTCCAGCAGCGGTTTAACCGCTCAGGCGCCTGGTCCTCCGTGTTACAGATGTGCAGCAATATGACACAGCGCTGGAGGAGGCCTCGTGTTCACTCTTCCAGGTGGATAGGCTGATTTGGAGACAGAGAAACAGAGAAATAAATATAATGGCTGCATATCGAATGCATTGCCCCAAGCGCTACATATGATGCTCACCTTGCCTTATACGTTTTCCTATTTTATTTTTTAAACAGCTGAACAATTTTTTAAAGCAAAGCAACCCCCTACTCTCACAGCACTCTTATCTCCCAGCACCTAACCCCTGAAGAATCTTCATTAATCTGCATGTGTAGATCTCAAATTGTCCTGTATAGAACTAACAGTATAACCAGATTGGTACTTTAAAAAATATGTACAGAATTACATAAAAAAAAATCTGACTGTTTTGGATTTGCCTGTCTAGGCTGATTAAGCGCTCAGTCTCTGAGATGCAGATAGGAGTTGCGGAGATGGCCCTTTAGCCCGGTGTCACAGGAGCTGACAAGCTGTAATTACTGTGGCTGACAGGTCGCTCTCAAAGCTTACTAATGTGAGAGATGTGGATACCACAGACAGCATGCACACAGTCGAGGCTACTCAACACTTTGGCCACGTAGTGCCTTTTTAACCCCTGTTTAGATGCTGCTGGGCTGGCCACATGCTCCGCAGATGACCTTTTCCATTTTAACATTTCAGTAATGAAATAGCCACTTATTTGCGAGCTAGTGATATGGCAGTAGAGATGTGAATGAGAAAAAAATACACATAAGACGGGTGAAAAGTTTTTTAACTTTCATGCAGTTATTTTGTTTTCAGTTACGTTACATTGATTTGACAACTATAGCTATGTAACACTCCTAAAGAAGAATATGTTACACCCAAATACATGATCATTTGAAGATATTATGTAATGATGCAGCTTTCACCTCCAGCCCCCAGTTAATTTTTCATTGACGTAATACAGGTAAACTCAGTACATCCATAACAGAAAGTTTAAATACTCACATACTGAACACGTGGTACTGTTGCTTTAATACTTTCATTTTGTGCTGTTTTTTTTTTTAATTAATCCTTCATTTTAGTGGGAAGTCATGCATGTTTTATGTTTTTATGTTTTACTTCCACAGCAGTTATACAGCAATAAAATCCCAGTACATCAGCGAAAGGTGTAATCTAAATAACTGCAGTATTACTTTTGATAGTGGAAAAATTGTGCTAACACTTCTTTTCCACTTTTACAGAATAAAACTGTAACCACAAGATTTTTTTACTCAGTGAAGTACATTTACATTGTGGCTGCTTGGGAGCCTGGTTAGGGTTCTTTATCTTTTTTATAAGACAAGCTTTATAAATACAGACAGGTGACATATTAAAGGAAAAACATGAACTTTTGACCCTTCCGTGAGGGGACTGGCAGCTCTGGTATGCTGTGGGGTGCGCTTTACTGGCACAATCTGGTTCCACTTGTCCCTTTAGAGGGAACATTTGCAGTATATTAATACAGAGTTGTTTTGAGTGAACACTTTTAGCTTTACGACACAGTTCTGTCTTGATGAAAGTGGACCATTCCAGGATGATGTTGCCCCCATCCAAAGTTCATGAGGGCTCCCTGGATGGCTTGCAGAGTATGAAAATCATACGAATCATATGCAGTTGCTTCCACAGACATCAACTGACAAAACATCAAATGAGCAAAGAACTTTCGGAAGAACTGTGGCCCGTCCTTCCAGTGACTTTAGACTTTAGATGTCAAGAACCTAAAATTGTTCTGGCAGCACATCGTGGTTTAACAATCTAAATTTTGTATTTAACTTCAACCTGTCATCTACCTGCATTGCATTCCACAATATAAGATGCTGGATTTTGCCATAAGTTTAACCAGTATGCAGTGCTCTAGTACATGCAGTTGCTGCCTCTCTCACAATAGAATAGCCCTTCATCATCAACAAAACCTACAGAGCCTAATTTCCTCAGTGGATAAAACTCTAATTGATGCTTCAGTTTGTAATAGAGTAATGTAAGAAATCTATAGATCCAGACTGAGTAATCCACCCTCCCCTTTCGCGTGACTATGTGAAGGTCACAGTCACAGTTTAACCCATATTTCCGTGTCACATGCTGATTGTTTGGATGATTGTGTGATAGCGAAGCATGCACCTAGCATCTTTCTCGCTCACATTTTAATTTTAATTTATAACTTGTTAAACTAAATTTTCCATTTTCCATGAATTCTTTTGCAGTTTAGGAGAACGATCATCTTCGTGTCAAGCTCACCTGTAGAACAATGAACACATATCCTGTTTCACTTGGACTGTCATAGGTTTTTGTGTTTGTGTGGAGGGTTTTTTTTTGTTTTGTTTTTGAATGTTTATTGTGACTGAGCTTGCACTTGGTTCGGTTTCTGAGTTTTTTTGTTGTTGTTGTTTTTTTTTAATATCTAGATACATTTCCCGTTTATTCTTAATCTCTTGCTAGGATCAAATAACATGTTAATATCCTTTGGCTTTTTCCGTTGTTTCAAATTGGCTTCCTTAGCTTGCGGCATAATTTGGTTTACTCGCTCTCCCCCTCTCTCTCCCCTGTCCTCTCCTCTCCTTGACTGCAGCTTTTGACATTACTCCTCTCGATTGCCCGTTTACCCCCAAGTCAAGTTTGAGGTAGGCATGAAGTGTAAAAGAGGTGGGCCATGTCATATCCGCTCAGTGTGCATGGGATTGTCTGCTTCCACGGCTGTAATTATTGTTGTGGAGAACAATTCATGCACAGAGTGCCCGGGCAAGCAGGAAGGTAGCATATCAGAGAAAGAACAGTCTCAAAGTTGGATCATGAAGGTTTTTTTCTCGGCAGAAGTAGAAATATGGGTTGGTTTTATGTGAGGCACAATCGCATTTAGAAGTTTACCTATTTTGCTTGTATATTTGGATAGATTTGGCTTGCATTAAAATCATTTAGCCTACTATAGCGATTACTTTGCTTTAAGGGATTTTGTGAAAATAATCTAAGGGTACTCTCCCACTTGGACTCCACTTCAAGGATATTAATATTAATGTGAAATAACTACTTTAACAACACAGCTGCTTTGACAGCCCCAGGTGCATATTAAAGTTTATTTGAATGAATTAAACGAATAAAAAGTCTCAGAGAAACAGACTTGCCTTATATAAGTTCATGATGAGGCTACTAGACGACTCTTAAATATGATTCCACTTGGAGAACATAAATATTTAATCCGAAGTAACTTATATTTATGCAAAGTCTAGTAAGTACAGTCTGCAATATTTATTTATTGTTTGGCCACTCAGCCTTTGAAGAAGTTTAATGGAATACCCAGTGGACAAAACTGCAGCTACATGGTGTTTTAAGTTACCTGCATTCATCCGAGTGTGCAGGGGGAAAGAAGAAGAAAAGAAGTTGCTGAACTATTTACCTAATTGTTCCCGAAAATCTATGTAGATTTATGTAGCTAAGATTAGGCGTAGGTGTCGTGACTTTTGTTTTTACACAGTCTTAGGTGTGTGTTTATCGAATACGTCACCGTAGCAGCCAATCAGAAACGGGGAACGGAACTAACCGTCCTATAACTAGATATTAGTTTACAAGATAATAACGGAGGGATGCTGCGACCGATGAGCCGGTTACTCACGGGTGAACAGAGCCAGTCCAATCTGATTTGTGTAGGCTACCCATCTCCATTTGACTCCCAGGATCAATAGCTGATGTCTGAGAGAAAGGGGGGGAGGGGGGAGAAAGGAAAGGAAAGGAAAAGAAAGGTGCAACAGGTTAAATAGAAAATGACCATTATTAGACACACAACTTCTATCATACCGTTAATATATAATCTCATCAATATTTTATTTTCTCAACTTTTCTTTTTTTTCTTTTTAGCCTGTCATTAAAATTAGTTTAACTTATTAATGCTCAAATACATTATTATTATTATTATTATTATTATTATTATTATTATTATTATTATTATTATTATTATTATTATTATTATTATTATTATTCCTACAATCGAATTATTTCCTATCTGAGTGTGTGGGGGGTAAATTTTGCCTCCACACAAGGCTGATTGGCTTTTGCAGTATCAGTAGTTTGTATCAGGTTAGTGGGCTGTGCACTCACCCAGTCCTTACTACTGAAACCATAATATTTTCATGCACTGGGCTCAAACACACGCTGCTGAAATCAGTGGAGCCTGCATATGACCTGCAATCTTTTCTGTGCAGCTTACTTGCGCATATACAAAAACCCTGAAGTGATACCCAGGCCACAAAGCGACAGTCACCGCAAGTATTGCAATAGCACATAAATACTAACATAAACCGAACAAAACAAACTTGACCTATATCCGCCTTCCTATATGGCGCATTGAGATATTTCAGCGTTTTTGTTGTTGTTCATTCATTATTCAGGTTTAGATTATTATGGATGGCAGATGTCAGAGCGTGATGGAGATGTTTATGTTTGACTGATTTAAGAAGCCATTATCCCGCCCGCTTATCAAACATTCATGTGTGGCAGCTGTAGTTGTGGATCTGCCCTCCGTCGTGTCTCCTGTGGCCGCTTCATTTCTCTTCTTAAGCAACCACGACCTTTCCACTCAGTTAACCTATTATCTTTAACATTTAGAGGCAGCTTTACTCCATCAGAAGAAGAAATAATCTAAAAGCATTAGACACAGACTATATATCAGAGAAAAAGAAATATATGTGAAAAAATATACATCTAACAGAAAAGAACGTAACCCTTTATGGCACAGCCATGTAGAAGAAAACACTATAGGTTGAAATTGCGAGCTCGACACAGTAGCGTATCAGCTGGCCTTTCAGCAGATAGGATAAAGCTGTCTAATGTCCAATAGACTGTAAGTGTCGCAAAACACCCGGAATAGCACAGGAACAGTAAGTAAAAATGCGCAACAGAACGTCTTAATATTATATAGTCCAAATTAGATGAATATTAAATTTACAATTGCTTAAAGTTATTGATACTTTACCCACAATTAGTCTTTACAGCTAATGACAGATTTGTAAACATCCTAATGAAACAGTCTGGCAGTATGCAGAGCAATTAATTCTGACGGGAGTCATCAAAGGCGTCACTATTTTATTGCTTTAATGCGACTTTTAGTTGTTAAGCAAAATAAGATCCAAACGAGCTTTTTTCTTTGCAGAAAATTCACTCAGCTAAGTTCACACTGAGGCACTAGTACAGCACGCTCATAACGAGCCTTAACTTAGATTGATTGGATTGGGAAATAGTGACGCTTTTCTTTTTGATAAATTTCTTGTTATGCAGCAATAATATCGAGATTATAATGAGGTTTGAGGCAGGCTATTTGCGTTATCATACAATTTAAAATTAGACGTTAAGAAAAGAAAAGAAAAGAAAAGAAAAGAAAAGAAAAGAAAAGAAAAGAAAAGAAAAGAAAAGAAAAGAAAGGTTTTTCCAAATTTCAGAACGGGTTGTTCTTGTTTTGTTTGTTTTTTACTCAATGTTGATTTTACCCATTAAATCCACCATCAAATGAGATATAAAAGAGATTTAACTTTAAGTTTAATATTAGCCAAAAGTGAGAAAAAATATTTTTAAGAAATCCTTTTGCTTCAGCCTAATATTTTCTCTCCCTGTCGGCTGAGGCTGCACAGACCATCCAGCGTCCGCACTTTGTAATTGCCCTGTGAACACGGTAGTTTTCATTCTTTTGACCCTTCCATGAACAGCACGCCGCCGCCCTCGCTTGCTCCCCTCCACCCCATCCAAACAGACCCACACAATGCTGCGTGTGCGTGCGCGCTCTGCGGTATGTGGGCTAAATGTCGTGCAGAGGTAATGGGAAGTAGTCGGATGGTAGGGTCGCGAGTTCACGGCGGGGTTAAAGAGACCCGTCCGTGGCTCCTGTTTGCTTTTTTTCCACAACTCCGCTTCCTTCCTACAGGAGGATGTGTCCAGTGTGCCACCGTCCTCACCTCGCAACAACCCCGTCACTGCACAGACCGTGTTTGTTTTTCTGCGTTTATTAAATCTTCCCCCGGCAGGAAAACGACCAGTATCACCACGTCACTGGGTGCTGGTGAGTTTAGCACTTTGCATCCCTCCTCTGCTCCCTGAGAATGCTTTTGTGTTTGGACTTGTGAAGTCTCGCGTCTATTTATATCCTCACATGCAGGCTGTCTGTTCAACACTTTCCCCCCTTCAGTTTATCATATTTCTTCAAGGTTTTTTCAAGGTTTTTTTTGTTCCAGAATCACAGCTGACACATTTTAAAATAAAATCCAAAAAACAAAAAAATAACTTTTATTGTACACCAAGAATCAGATTAATAATACCTAACAATAAAGGACAACTTCAGCTGTTTCACCCAATAAAGAGGTTCCCATGCACTTTTTGTACTTTATTTAAAAACATTTGATCATTAATAAATTTTGTCATCAAAAAAGACAGCGACCTCCCTCATAATGAACAAAACAGTCTCCCACCTACGCCCCTTATCAAGTTTTTTTTTTTTGATGAATCCGGAGCATAAACCATATTTAAGCAGCACGACAATGATGTAAGTTGTTAAAAGAGAAAAAAAAGAGCAGAGATTATTATTATCTCATTAAGGATAACTGCCTGCAGGTCCGCTGGGTTATCCGCCATTTTAATTGCCGCTGCATCATTATTCAGGCCTTTAACCATTTTATAGGGTTTTCCTCTAATGAAATGAGGATGTGTGCATTATGGAAATTGCATCTCTATATGATGTAGATTATTCTCTTGAGAAACCACGTAAAATATTAATCATTGAAGCCGTATATGATAACATTTCCTCCTCTATTGTATTTGCCATTCTAGCTCTCTATTCTTGTGTGTCTTCTGTCTCTGCAGGTGGCAGGTAGGTGCTATTTCAGTTTACTTTACAGCTTCTTTTTTCTAGTTTGTGAAGTTTAACAAGGGGATCTGAATTGAAAGTAGTTTTTTATACAAGACAAGGAAAATATTTAGTGTCCATATTGAAAAAGTTTTTTCTTTTGCAGTTAGTTTTCTATTACAGCTTTGTTAATAAAACAACAATAACAACGTGTTTTAAAACCAGTTTGGTGTCACATTTGCTTTAAATAATTGATTTATACATGGTTTGGAAAACTAGCAGGGTACAAAAAAGACATGTACACATGGAAAATACTATCACATGATCAACAATATTTTTACTATGTAAAGAAATGGAAACTAACATTGTCCCTTTATAATAGAATACATTAGTTGAATGTAGAGTAAATCAAATTTACTGTAACACATTAAAAGACATTAATACAACATTTATAATTACTCTTTACAAACCAAAATAAAGGTAGTTTTATCCTTCTGTTCATATACTAAGAATTTTCAGCTGCACATATTGCTAAATAAAACCCATGTAGTCAATAATTTCACATAGAGGATAACCCGTGAGATTAAATATGTAAAACCATACATTAACAAAGAGAACAGCTACATATAGATGAATCTAAAAAGCAAAATAAATAAACAAATGCATAAAACTGCTCATATACCCTTTTTTAGGGGAAGAAAAGATGGTGGGATAAAAAGATGGACAACAAAGGGGTTAATAGAGAAATGGGATAAAAGAGAAAATACTTAAGAAATAGAGAGACTGTAAGAAGAGAAAGAGCTGAGAAGTCATATATCCTCAAAGCAGGGGATTGAGATTCATCTGACAGAAACAAGACAAAAACAGAAGGAGAGACCAACAGAGGTACAGTGGGGTTTTGCATTGGCATGGAGAGGGTCTGTTTTGTTGTTACCTTCCCTCTGTTTTTCTCTTTCTCTGTGTCTCTCATCCTCTCTCTTTCGCTTTGTGTTCATATAGAGACATCTATACTGGAGACAGGAGAGTGAGAGAGAGAGAGAGAATTTGGTCGTCTGCCTATCTCCTCCTCACCATGGCGCCCCTGAGACCAAGCAAGCAAGGAGAGTACACATACACACACACTTTTACCCGCCGCTGAGGAGAACAGCTTGGCTCTGTGTTACACTGAAAACCCCACTTTCCCTCAGTCAGACAGACAGGTAGACAGCTGGGTGTTACACTAAATCCTCTCCCCCATGTGTTCCTCCTAACACTGGCTCTGCTCTTTCTGTCACTTCTCTGTGTCTGCTCCTTTCTTTATCTCATAGCTCGTGCTTTAAAGCAGAAGAAAAGAGTCAGCCCTGGAATAAAATAAAACTATGATATGATTGTAAAATGTAGAGTAGTTTATGAATAGTTTAGAGGAGATGTCAGGTTTTAAAATTAAAGGATTAGTCAATGGAAACAGCCATTTATGATGCACTGAAAATAAAACATAGTGTCTCCCACAGAAGTGTTATCTGTCCCTTCTCTTGTCTCTCTCTCTCTACCCTGACCCCAAGTTCGCTTCTTCTAAGCACCACTTCACCCTAAGCCTACATTTTGTGTGTGTGTGTGTGTGTGTGTGTGTGTGTGTGTGTGTGTGTGTGTGTGTGTGTGTGTGTGTGTGTGTGCTGAGAGCTTTTTGATTTCTTGTGTATGTGTGTGACAGAGAAAGGGAGATGAGAGAGGATGATGGTCAGGCTTGGCCTACTGACTCATCCACAGAGAGAACTGTGTTAATACAGGAATGAAGCCATCACACACTTGCACACACACCCCCACACACACATAGACAGCCTCTTCCCATCAGTCTTTTGTTGCACTTGCCAGTGATGATGATCTCACCACATAGCAGGACTGAGCCTCAATAGTCATCGAGTTTGTCAGTATGGCAGACAGACAGGCAGCCAGTCAATATGGCCATCAGTCATGCAGCCAGGCAGTCAGTCAGTAAGCAACAGCTAATTATCAAAATTGTAAGTTATTCAGGCACTTAGGTGGGGAGTTAGATATCAGATAATGTAGATAATGTAATCTCAGCCAGCTGACTGTATTTGGTGTCATTACGTCAGCCTTAAAATTTGCTTTCTCTTTAGAAGAAAACTGACATCATACATAACAGAAAGACAGAAGAAAGAGGCACAAACTCATCTCTGTCATCAAACTCTGTGTTTGAATTTCCTGCCCAAGACTCAGATTGAAATCCTAATAAGCATGCCAGGTCAACAAAAAAGTCCTGAAAACTGGGAGAACTGGAGCATTCAAGTTCAGGCAAGATCTTTAAAGAATCTATCCCCACTTTCATTTCCATCAGGATCAACTGTAGGAGACCGTTTATAACGTCTCCCCTCCAAACAGACTTTGAGGCTGCAGATGATTTGATTGTTCTAACAAAGAAGAAGAAAACAGAACTTGTAAAATTAACAATGGCACTGTATCTCTGAAAATCCCCACATGGTAATAGACCCAAAACGGGTTTTTTTGGTGTAGGTCTTACTGTATTTGCACTCTTTAGCTCTCATGTCATGCGATAGTAGTGTGTTAACTGTTCCTACAAAACATGCAGATGCAGCATTTAGTTGCACTGCATACAACTAACATGCATTTCCAACCGACTGATGTTCATTCACCAAACAAACACTTTATAATTTGCTTCATTGCAAACACTTAATTTTCTATGTAAAATGTATTAAAATGTATTGCATTGCATTTTGTATTTAGCTGTTTTATGGGTTATGTAACTTGCCTTTGTATAAGACATGTCCCATATGAATAAACATCATTTGTATTCTTTGCTTTCATTGTATTCAAATCTGAGCTTTGTTATGTTTCTTTAGTTAAAAATAAAAATATATTATAAAATTGCATCTACTCGTTTTGTTAGTAGTTATGCCCCCCTGACACCTCTCAGGCACCATAAAGTATTCTCAGTATGTCAGCCATCGGCTAAAACCAGCATTTGTTATTTTCCACCAGGGAAATTCAGTTCCTGAAAAACATAAAAGTTCCTTCCCTTTTTTTTTTAATCCAAAGCTTTAAAATGGTGTGTATTAAAGAAAAGAAACAGTCTCCATTGTTGGCATCTGTAAAAAGACACTCTGAACACACCATAGAAATCTGTAAAAGAGAATAATGTGGTCTAATCGATTGTTTACCCGATAAAAGCCTTGTTGTTACTTATCTAACAGTACCTGGCTGATTGAGTTTCACTTCCCTCAGGCTTTCCCATAACTCTAGTCTGAGAAAAAGAAAGTGCAGACTAAAATAAAAAAAGGCTTATTTATTAATTTATTCCGTTATTTTAAATGAGAGTCAGAGTTGATATGCAAGTGGTGTACCTGATGAGCATGAACAAAACAGAGAGCTGGAGTTGGAATATTCTAAGAACAACTGTATCCGTTGTTGTGCTAATCCTAAATGAAATATGTATTCAGTAAAAGGATTAGGGCGTCCAGTGTCATAAAAGAAACCACTTACCAGCACCAAAGGTAATTTGTAACCTTAGCAACTGCTTGGTGGAAATGAATGGGGGATTAGGATTGGCTGCAGCCAGCGTTGTCCTCATGCAGTCAAAACAACCTACACACATTCGCGCACACTGTATTTGTTCATACTAAAGTCAAGCATAAAGCGCTTGTGCATGCACAGAAAAGTTGTGCATGGAGACAAAATGAGGTTTCATACTTAATATAAAACTTCAAATAAGAGCAAGGAAAATAAGGATTGCACATGGAAGAGAAACAGAAAAAAGAAGCACAAATAAGAAAGCTGAACCTGATGCTTCTAGTTTTTAATCACAGAAGAACTTGAAGCAACAGGTAAAAGGTTAGTCAGCAGCCTCACAATGATAAGCTGCCAACTAACAGCAATTAGTGTGCTTTACCTTTATTGATTTAACCGACACATTCAAGGTGGCTGAGTGTGTTTATCCCGTCTTGTTGTGTGACAGTTCTCAGAAAGCAGAGGCCTCAACTGTACTTGCAGGTTCTCACATTACACTTAATGATGCCAGCTCTCGCTTGAACAGTCAAGGGTGAGTGTGTGCCTGTGCTTGTATATGTATGTACGTACACACAGAGAAAGAGAAAAGCAGACAGAAATACATACATTGCAAAATACATCAATAAGAAGAAGGATGCGCAGGTGAAAAGACACACGCAGATGAGGAGATAAGTCCAACGACGAGAGAGAAAAGAGGGAACGAGAAAGCGAGAGGGATTAAGTTCTAAATAGCCACTTCTGTCTGGTTCCCCCACCTTGTTGGAGACATCTCAAATAGCTAATTGCTTAATCATGTGGAAGTGACAAAAGCCCAACCTTGTTCTCATCTGTTCTCTTTCTCCCTGCCTTAATCCCTCTATCGTTTTGTGCCGTGCCTTGCCGTGCATATGTGCATTTGTTTGTCCCCTGACTTTATCTGTCTCTCACTCAATGTGACTCATCATTTTTCTTTGCTCACCTAACCTTCTTACTTTCTGTCACTCCCTCGGTAAGTCTAGGGAAGCTATTAAAACGGTGGCAAATGGCTTCTCGGGTGACATTTGCTGACATTCAAGGAAGTGCATTTATCAGTGTACTATAGTTCACCTTGGTGAATGAAATCCATTTGTGCTGCTGAGATGGCCTGGTGGCCCCTCTCTCTCTCTCTCTCTCTCGCTCTCTCTCTCTCTCTCTCTCTCTCTCTCTCTCTCTCTCCATCCCTGTCCCTAAATGGATGCCCAGTGTACAGGGAAATGGCAAGGTGGCGCGCGGCTTCACAGCTGCTCTCAAATGTCATGCTGGAGAAAAAATCTTTAATGGGCTAAGTGTAGCCTTTCCAGCCCTAACTTGTCAGGTAATCAGAAATCTCTCTCTCACTCTCCCCGTCTCTTTCTTCACCCACCTTTTCCTTGTTCCTAAGCTCCCCAGGGCCATGACACACCACTAATTACCTGTTATACCAATCGGAGAGTGGGATGGCATGAAAGAGGAAGACTGCTTTTAAGATGGGAGGATATCACATCTTCCTTCTCATTGCCTTCACTCAGACAGGCTGCATATTTTTAGCTTGGTTATGTTTTTTGTTTTTTTTACTTTTATCAAGCCAGGTCATAACTCTTTGGCTTTAGAGTCATCTGAATCATGACACCTCCTTTTATAAGTGGCTGATTTTCATGTAAGTGAGAGGATTTCTTTCACTATAGCTGCAGGAACCTGCATCTTCCTCTTGCCAAATGTCAGTGTTTTTTTTCAGGAGGGTTTACATTATGACATGGCAAGACAAAACACATAAATTTCTGTGTAAACAAATTCCCAGCTCCCTTGTATCTGCTTGAACCATGACCAAATGCTTTCAGACCGCTAAGTATAAGTAGATAAGCAGACACTGTGTGAAATGAAATAGAATCCTAAAAAACAAGTAAAATATATAAAATTTAATGCTTGCTTAAAACAGCGCTAATATTTATCATATCAACAATGGACACAGCGGCTACATGTAAACCACACACTTGCAGTGAACAACAACTTATTATTAGTTCTGACAAGCCTTTCAGCACCTTTCTGCTTTTTTTTTTAAAACTGACTCGCATCACCTTCACTTACAGGCAAAATCCTAAAAGCGCTGCATAAGTCAACACATAACTTCTTAACACCTAAAAACAGACAAGGTTACTGGCTGGTGAACACAGAGGAGCATTTTTTTAGATAAAGATCCAGACATTTGTTACAGGAAACAGTGAATGTTGAATTTACATTTGCCACAAACATACTTTAAGTCACCCTGAATGCTTGTGATGGTCATATTTGCCATTTAAGCATAATGCAAAAAGTTTGAACATGCATGATCATACCAACCAAGCTTCAAGCTAGAATAGGCATCTCAAGTTAGTATTTATTCAATTTATGTACAATTTGTCTCAGTGAGACAAATTTAACTTCTATAATTTATATGTTTAGTAATACCATTTACAGTTAAAATTCCTGTTATAAAAGTAAAAGTTTTAACATTTGCTTTTAATATGTAAAAAAACAAACAAACCGAGCCTAAAGTAAATAAATGGAAGTTTACATTCTGGCTCCAGATACATGACAAACATGGATGTGAAGCAGACATATATCTCTGCCAGAGATTTCCATTTCTCCCCGTGGGTGTCAGGTGATTGACAGTAAGCAGTCTCGTGCGGAGCCTGCATAGAAAAAACACACACAGCAATACAACACAAGCACTACACATAAGAAAATTTAGGCTTTTTTGAATTGTTTCCTGTGCTATTGTTACTAATTCATCTTAAATGGCTTACTGAATTACTTGATATAAAAGAGTTAAAATAAAGTTATCTTAGGAAGAAAAACTATGGCATGGCCATAAGGATTAAGTGTTACTAGTTAGTGTGGATAAACCTTTTGTTGGAAAGCCTGTAGAGGAACTAGAAAGGTAGTCAAATTAATGTTAGAAAGATAAGGCAGGCAAGCTGAAGCAGGAAGTATAGTAAAATATAATGTTTATTAACTGAGAAGAACACTGTTATCATATTGTCCGGGTGGATGTTCTCTGTTTTTTGGTCTCCATTGTGATGGATTTTTTTTTTTTTTTTTTAGAAAAATAGCATCATTTTTAATGACACATTCTCTCTTTGTCGACAAGCTTCACACTCATGTCACACTGCATTGTTTACGTGCATATTGTGATTAAAATGCTAATGCCTGGTGAGGTGCTGCACTCCATAGTGGCTTGTAGCTGGACAATAGCTCAGGTCAGTGTGGTGAGACAGGAAGCGGAAGGTTGATTGAGGATGAGGTGCGGCCCCAATCAACTAAACTCCTCCACGTGCGCACATATGCACAAGCACATACTCATAAACACGCACACATGAGCATGTTCACATAGACATGGAAAATAACTGAGCATGAATGGAATTGGTTACAAGCACGCACAACCATATACCCAACCATCGCTTACCCACTGGCATCTGAGCATATGCGTGCACGCTCACATGCAAAAAGTTCATTCAGTAGCAGGGTGTAATGTTATTTTCCTCTAGGCAAACTGTTAAGAACAAGCAGCAGAAGGAAGAGCTGAGGGATATATGACACAAATGGAGACATGAAGAAATACAGAGTGACAGGAGGAGGGTGTTCTCCAAGAAAGGAGCAAGAGGCACTGATTTTTGGGTTTCACAATTTGAAATATTCAAGATTATTTCCATAGTATTTCTAAATAAATAAATTGAATAGTTGAGGCATACATTTTTCTGCCTGCATATTTCACAACATAAACCAAGAGATCCTCAGACTGAGTTAAATTTTGGCAGTCATAAAACATCCTTTTAAAGTGGAAACTCAGTAACTACAGAACCTTGTTTTCTAAAATGTAGTTTAAATCTAGTCTTTCTAGCAATTGATTGCTTTGCTTGAAATTTGTATCAAAGAAGTACAGTGGAGTAGATTTTCTTGTGGTGCCCACAGGACTAAAAAAATTGAAAAATCAACCATAAAGGGTCTTTTCAGAATCAGTCTAGCTAAACAACAGAGTTTTGGAAAATGCTGGAACTGAAGGAATATTCCTTATGAATTCTCTGCATGGTTAAATGGCTTCAGTTAAGAGAGGAAGTATGCTGTTTTGTACTTTCAGTGACCTAAATTTCACATGTTAGTTCTATTTTAAAGAGGGAAGTAGTTTTCTGTGACATATGTGATTTATAATTTATATCCCCGTTGTCATTACCTCATTGTCGAAGCTAAACTACTGTAGACCACACGTTGTACTCCATGTATTCCCACTTCACAAAGAACAAAACACAGGCCTTAAGAAACACAAGACTTGAGAAAAATCTTGCATCATTTTTTTCACTGTTCAACTTTAACTCACATTAAATCAACAT